CAATGTGTGTTTTATTACCTCTATTAGTAGAAATATTGTATAAGTTTCCCGTTTAAGAAAATCTGGTTTTAATTTTCAATTTGTTGGTGATAATATTCATGCCTTCTTAGATGGAATATTATATTTTAAGGCTAGACCAATAAATGTAAGTTATGAATTAAACCTAGATGACACCTCATACAATAAGTCCCTTTATCATGTTAACACTAAAAGGCTCAAACAAGATTTGAACCTAACATATCTATGGTATTGTTGCCTTGAACACATAAACAAGAAGCGCATATCTCAACTCCAAAAGAGTGGAATTTTGGGGGCAAATGACATTGAGTCATTTGACATATGTGAATCTTGTTTATGTGGAAAGATGAAAAAATCTCCTTTCTTTGTAACAAATGAAAGGGCGATTGTTTTATTGGGCATCATACAAACTTATGTATGTGGTCCCTTCAAAACGATGTCTAGATATGGTGAATGATATTACATCACCTTCACTGACGACTTTATTCATTTTGGTTATGTGTATTTGATAAAACATAAACATGAAGCATTTGAAAAGTTTAAATTATTTCAAAGTGAGGTTGAAAATCAACTCGACAAAACAATTAAAATCCTTCGTTTAGATAGAGGATGCGAGTACTTGAGCCAAGTGTTCCAAGACCATATAAGGAGTTGTGGGATTATCTCACAACTCACTCCTCCTAGAACACCACAACTTAATGGTGTTTCTGAGAGGAGAAATCGGATCTTACTTGATATGGTTCGATCTATGATGAGTCGAAGTACTCTTTCTTTATCATTTTGGAGTTATGCTTTACTTACTGCATCCCGTATCTTGAACATGGCAACAACTAAAAAGGTAGAGAAAACACATTATGAGATGTAGTATGGAAAGGCTCCATCCTTGTCTTATATGAAAGTTTGGGGTTGTGAATCTTATTTCAGACAAGATACTTCAAGCAAACTTAAGCCTAGATCTACCAAATGCATCTTTGTACGATATCCTAAAGATTGTTTAGGATATTACTTATACATTCCTAGTAAGAATAAGATCTTTGTCTCAAAAAAAAAGTTGAATTCTTATAAAGCAAGTTTTTAATGGAGGAGGCAAGTGAAGAAGATCAAGAACCTCAACCTGATGCAGCTTTAGTTGGCACTAGTACTATACAAGAGGTTGTTGAAGATGAATAGATCATTGTCCTTTAACGAGGTGAAACACAAGGCACTCGCAGATCCGGTAGAACTCGTCGTGAACCTGAGATATATGGATTTCTCATTGATGAGTGCTTCATGATGATGAATGTTGATGAGCCCATCAACTACCGATATGCAATGTTAGATCCCGAATCTGAAAAATGGCTTGAAGCCATGAATGTAGAGATGCAATCCATGAGAGAAAATCAAGTCTAAGATTTGGTTGAACTTCCACCCAATAGCAAGATTGTTGGAAGTAAGTGGGTCTTCAAGAAGAAGACTAACATGGATGGAAATTTACACATATTAAAAGCAAGACTTGTTACTAAAGAATTCACTCAAACACTTGGAGTTGATTATAATGAAACATTTTCACCAGTTGCTATGATTAAATCTATTAGGAGACTACTTGCCATAGCTGCATATTATGACTATGAGATATGGTAAATGGATGTTAAAACTGATGTTCTAAATGGGCACTTGGAAGAAGATGTCTACATGGTTCAACCCGAAGGTTTTTTCGACCAAAAGCATCATAATAAAGTGTGTAAGCTCAAGAGATGAATTTATGGATTTAAACAAGCATCCCGTAACTGGAATCATACTTTTGATGATGAAATCACGAAGTATGGTTTTATTATAAATGAAGATGAATCTTGTGATTACATGAAAACTAGTAGGAGATCGGTGACATTCTTGGTCCTATATGTGGATGACATATTAATCATGGGAAATCACATTCCAACTGTATAAGGTGTAAAGATTTGGCTTGGAAAGTTCTTCTCAATGAAGGATCTAGGTGAGACACAATACATTCTTGGAATCAAAATCTATAGAGATAGATCAAAACGATTAATAGGTTTAATCTAAGGTACATATATTGAGAAAGTGTTGAAACGGTTCAATATACCAAACTCTAAGAGAGGATTTATACCTATGGCACATGGCACTGTACTAAGTCCATCTCAATGTCCTAACACAAAGACTGAGATAGACAAGATGAAGGATGTTCCATATGCTTCAACAGTTGGATCCATCATGTAGGCCATGAACTGTACAAGACCTGATCTTGCGTATGCTATAAGCATGGTAAGAAAATTCCAAAAAAATCTAGGGTAGACTCATTGGACAGCTGTGAAGAACATTCTCAAGTACTTACGAAGGACTAAGGATATGTTCCTTGTCTATAGATGCGTGAATGAAAGCTTAAGTGTAAAGTGCTATACGGATGCTTCCTTTATAACTAATCGAGATGATTGCAAATCGCAATCAGGATATGTGTTCATTATCAATGGGGGTGCGGTATCTTGGAAAAGCTCCAAGCAAAGTGTTGTTGCACAATCCACTACAAAGTCAGAATACATTGTTGATTCTGAAGCTGCATAAGAGGCTACTTGGATGAAGAAATTCATTGGAGATCTAGAGGTATTCCCTACCATTCAGGACCCCCTAGACGTTTTCTGTGACAATGAGGGTGTTATTGCTTTGGCAAAAGAACCCGGATCACACAAGAAGACCATACATATTAGCTGAAGATTCAACTTCATCCAATATAAAGTTGAAGAAGGTGAAATTAGTATTAGCAAAGTTCACACTGATCAAAATTTGGGGGACCCTTTCACGAAGCCCCTTCCTCAAGTCAATTTTGAAGGTCATGCTCGAGGAATATGAATTTGCTATTCTAGTTATTGGCTTTAATCTATGTATTAGTATTGAGTATTAGGACATTGTAACATCATCTATTGTAGTGACTATGATATATATGGCTTATGATCTTTTCATTAAATATTTGTTGTGTTCTTTATTAACATGTTTAATCCATGAGTAAATTTATTCACTCTAAAATCCGTAGTCGGCTATTATTGTGGGAACAATATTAATATAAGACTAATATGAATTGGAATGGTTGACAAAGCTTTGTAACCAGTTTCATAGGTCCTTGATAGAGAGCAAGTATTGGATTGACCCATTCAAGATCATTTCGTGGATTGTTGTCATGAATGATACTTGATAAAGGTAATATATGTATATCCTTAACACCTGAGATACATATATGTGACTTCAGTGTGGAGAATGTTATGCTTTGATGTACTTAAATTTTTTTCTTGAAACATGCAGTTATAAAAGTTGTTATTAGGTGTGATGTGAACCATGCAAGAGGCGTTTGTAGTCAATATGGATTTATTCCTCTTATTCGTTGAGAGTTAGACATCTAAGGCCTAATGTAAGGTTGAACACCTATATGAGACTGGTTGTGATCTATATCTCATTTTCAACATGATGTCTGTAGCAAAGAGATAACTGATAAACTTACCTTATACACCAATTGTAGCCTTGGGGATTCTGGGGAATTAGGAGTTGATGGAATGACACTGTGTCATATGATGTTGGGGGTAGTGAAATGTTGCTAGACGTTCACCATTTTCTATATCAATTTGATATGAGTCTTGCGCAAGTGGGAGATTGAAAGATCTAGTATGCTTAAGAGTCATATTAAAATGATATTGCTAAATAACATATGATCCTAAGGCTCACACTAACAACAACTTGATACAATTGATTATTTATTAGAAATTGATTTTAATAAATATTCATAAACTCTTATAATAAATTGGGAAAATATTTATTTCAAGGAAATAATTATTTTACAATACAAGTAACACATTATTTCATAAGGTATGAATTAATAAGTCATGTAAAACATTTTGAACATGGAAAGCCTTTTTTCTTTTAGCTAAAGACAAAGTTTATATCTTATAAACTTTGAGTTTATAAAATATAAACTCAATCTTTTCTTTTTTTAAAGCCATGAATGGTTTTAGGGTCAAAGAAGAGAGGCATGGCTTTCCCCTTAGTTTAATCAAAAGAAATCAAGCATGGTGCATGAGTGGGACAAGCTTGTCTAAAGTGCTTATTGGATAAAGACCTTTAGATTAAGTGTATGCTTTATATAGATTGCACTCTTGCAATTTTTCACTCACTTCTCTCTTGCAAAAGTTGTGAGCACAAGCTCCCTCTCCATCTCTTCCCTAGCCTTTGAAGTTCTTGAAGATTTGTTAACTGTTTTGCTCATCTTAGAAAATATACTTGGGTATTTGTTCTAAGCTTAAGAGTTAGCATAAGAACTAGCATTCTAATCAAGTTGGAATATTATTGGTTTCTCAAGGGTTCATCCTCTCTCCATCGACCTCCAAGCCTCCCCTGGAGGACTCAAAGTGCTTCAAAGGTTGTTACCACTTCTTCTTTCTATGGTTGTGTTTTAAATCTTTCTTTTACTTGCAAGATGATCCTTGGTGGGTGATAAAATGTTTATGTTATTTATAAAACTCAAGTCTTCCGTTTGCCATTATTTATAGTTTTTTGAAACTAGTTTTTTAATAAAACCCTACACATACTTATTGTTCATAAAACCTGTAGCTTTCCCATTAAGCTACATCCACAAATATGACAAATATCAATCCAACATCCATCGAGTTCAAAAAATATATTTGTGGGTTGCATAATCCAGCTGATTCACAAAAAAGTTTACAATCATCTATGTCCTTCAACAAATTAACGATTTCCACAAGTAACAAGCATCATCGACACAATCACGACACACAGTGACATTTCACACCAAAAATACGAATGTCCCAAGAAGATCAACCACAAGACAAGAATTGGCACAAACGAAAAACATAAAGTTCATGCTTGCCTAAAAACCAACAAAAGAGAGCATAACTGATTCACATAACTATCATAATCGAGACTTCATAATGAGTTGGGCAATGCAGTAAGCCGTTCATCTGAAGATAAGTTTCATAATTAGCTTAGACAATAGCTTTCTTATTTTCCATCAAAGTAACCTTAGCCATAGCGTCTCGATGATGAAGCGAAAAGTCGGTGTACATCTCCCCAACCTTCACTAACATCTTTTCACTTGCAAGCTTCATACCCTTGGGAACTTTTAAATTCACCTCCACAGCTAAAAACTGATCTCGTAAGGTTAACAACCAATCAAAAAACTTGAGATTCCTCCTAAATAAATTTTTCAGCGTGGGCTATAAAATAGCATGCCTCGTCCAACTCTTCCTTAAACAATATGCAAGAAGGGCACCCATCTACAGGCACCAGTAAAATGGCATTAGCGAAAAAAATACTATACTAAAGCCTAAAACATAGGTGTGAGCACATATAACAACGAAATATGTGACAAAAAAACTAAAAAAAAAAAACAAAAAAAAAAATGGGGAGAAGCAAAGTGTTTACATACCAGCCGGTTGAAGGGTAACATGACCCAAAGATAAAGGAGAGGTGCATCGAGGGCCCACCTGGGAAATTTCATGTAATTGCTCAAACTGATCGGGCGAAAAGAGCCAAGGCGGATCTCCAAGTCTAAATGGCAAAAATATTTCAGCAATATTCTTTTATCATTTAGATTGTGTAGCTTAATGGTATACCAAGCCGGTAGTCGGAGGAAATCTATTATTGGCCCAGTACTTACTAGATCGACGTTACACACACCACGACTTGTCACGAACGAATATAATTTTGAATTCATTGTACACAAATATCTGAACCATATCCCAGGAACCATACAAAAGAAAGTGCATGAAATAATAAAATAATAAGGAAAGGGGAAAAGACGTGCCTTCCTGTAAACCAGATAATAGATGAAGGATCGGTCAATACTATACAGTCTTCTAATAGCGAGTAGGCTATAAATACCCTAGCGACATGATATCCGAGGAAAATTAAGGTTGGGTAAAAAAGAGACATTATACATAGCATTAAGGCAACACTAAGAATACTAATCTAGTTTAGGCATCAGAGAACTATGTCGGGGTCCAACCCTTGATATAGCTTTTTGACCTAACACTTGTTTACATTATGAAGAGCGGATTCCCGGACACTTATTGGACTCAGACCATTAGGTGAGAGAGCTAAAAATGTGCCTAGAGTTCTCCATAACAACACACAAACCAACATGCATACCAACGGGCCCAACCCAATACACAATGCAAGAGTCACAAAGATACCTATCATCCTACATGTCATAATCCAGTGGGCCGATATTGGTGCCTTTAATCCATGAGTATAGTAAAGAGACTTACCTAACTTAGAAGATCAGCTAAACCACGACTCGATGCCCCACAACAAATGATACAACACTCTTATCAAAATATATAAGGTCCAACCTTAGTCTACATACTAGATACAACAATCTTGCCAAAAAGTCAACCTAGGTCAACAAGTCAACAGTCGAAGTTCAACCCTCAAAGTCAACATCTCAAAAACCAATTCAATGAATCACCACTTCATGGACTTCTATTGGCCACTTCGTGCCTGCATAAAGACAAAAATATCAATCCATTTCCCAGTCGCCACGCAGTGGCAGCCTAAGGCCATGATGTGGGGACTGGTATGAAAAACTTAATACATTCAACAATTTTCCAACAATTCTAAAAGCTCCAAAGATCAGATCTGGTCCTTCCTATGGTTTTAGATGGATAAAATTTCCTACTTTATCCCTTAAGACCCTCCAAGAGGTCAAGATCTCAAATCCTATGTCCAATAAAGGAAAAACATAACATGGACTTAACCATTAAGCACTTATCTAAAGTTCTTAGTCCATCAAATCCAAAAGAGATTTCAACTCCAAAACTAACCTAAAGGTTGATGTTTTCTAGACATATATGTCTTGAACTCATTTTATGCCCAAATTAGGATTATGACGAAAAATCCCATGCGTGGCTCAAATATCCAACCATACTTCAGATCGAAACCACCAACCACTCCACATGTCCGAGAGATTCATAAAGTTTCAAATTTATGGGATCTCACCATCTTATCTAATAAGAACAAAAAGAATATGAGGCAAACCTATAGATCTAGCAACCTAACAACGTAAAGGTGGAGTCTTGGATACTTATAGAGCTCTACAAGTATGCTAATATGAGAAATAGGAACTTTCTTGTTGGATCTTGGCTCACTACTATTTCCTTTTTCCTACAAGGTCTTCCAAAAGCACCAAAATGAACCAAAATTTTCAAGGGTTGGCTAGGGTTTTCAGGTAGAGGGTTGGAGGCTGAAGAGGATGCCCTGATCCTATGGAAATGTTGCTTTAACATTCAAATGGATGACTCTAAGATTTTGTCCTAGGTGAATCCCTTATGGAAGTTAGCGAACGAAGATTATGTACCTTACTTGACATACAATGCACTTCAAACTGATGTGTATTGGGATATTCCTGTATCTCCTAATGCACAATGCTATCAATTCTTTGATGAATTTGATCTCTAGATTCCAGATTACCGAAGACTTCCAATGGAGTTCGAGAGATTAAGTATATTTCAAAAAAAATTGGGAAGAAGATCAAAGAAGTGTGGTCAAACAATGTATCAGAGGCAGTCACAACATACAAATCTCACTCCTTCAAAAATGTATACTACTATTAATACACTATAGTAAGGTTCAACATGGAATACCACCAGACTCAAGCTAATTTAGTGAACATGAACCCAAAGGGGATATTTCTCATCGCCAGAGTCTTTAGCAACAAGATTAAAGTGTATCACAAATTGAAGACTCCATATGCCAGAGCCTCTAACTTCCTTAAAATTTTTGTGTATGGCTTTGAGACGATTGATGCTGAGATCCATCCAATTCTTGTCAAGAAAGCTAGTCTTACTCTATTCGAGTATCTAACCATGATCACCAAAGGCATCCAAGAGATGAATTGTGGGGCCACTAACTGTCCAAATCTCGGTATCATCTTAAGAATTGCCAAGGATACCAAAAAGAATTTCCTTCCGAATTTTTTTTTCATCGATGCAACAAAAAATAGTTGGAAGACAATCCTCATGATCAAACAAAATTCAAATTTCACTACTGATGAAGTAAAGTCTGAAATTTAAAGAAGGATCAAATAGTTATTCACATTAATGAAGTTTTGGTGGCTCCTTATCAAGTTTCTCAAACTTGAAAAGTGAATATGTTAACTGTGAGGTCACTTACGAGAAATTTGTGATACATGAAGTGATCCTCGATAACTAAGAACTTTACTAGTGATGCGAAGACCTTAATGGATGTTGAAGCGAAGAGTTGTATTTTTTATGAAACCGAGCATTTGCGAAGACTAAAGATAAGTGAGATGATGCGAAGAGATGTTAAGAGTTTTATCCTTTATGGTACTGAGGAGTTAGTACCACATTCATCTTTTGTTGACATTGAGTGTTTTGTAATACATGTATGTCCACGGTGTGACAAGCATGGACGCCTAGTCCATTATTGCTTTATCTAGACATGTACCTTTTTTACGCTATAAATAGAAGATAATGTTGATTGATCTATATGTCTCTGATCTTACTTCCCTTGTAAATTTCTCTTATTGAAACAAAAGTCTCCTTATCTTCATATTTAGTTGTTCATCATTTAATAACTTGTATTTGATTGCAAACCATGTTATGATTCAATAGGTATCGTAAAACTTGCTACAAGTTAAATGATGTATTTTTCTGCAATGTTGCTTTTATAATTCCTGAAACATATTATTGTTGAACTACATTAAGATAATCTCTTAATCAAAAGTTCTTATATCAACAATCTCTTCTTGCCTTTGAAAACATTACGGAGGGAAGACTTAACGTGAATTCTCTTACATTTATAAAAAAACCATAGGTTTATCTATGGTTAAAAATCTATTTATTTTGTCATGATTTCTTAACAAACATGATGTTACAATTATCCTATTTACATATTATTGGCCGAAACATAACACATAATTTGACTCTGCTTATTTAATTTGTTGTTCCAGGGTTCTCTAGATGTTTTAGTTATGCCAAAAAAGAACGATTTAGTGAGAGAAGTTGATACTCTTAAAGGAATATTACAACTAGTAAACAAGGAGAAAGATAAGACTATATTAGACTTATTAGATCGTTTGCGGGTTGCAGATAGCGAATTTTTTTGAAGTGGAAATTTTAAGAAAAATTCTTCACAATAACATTATGGTAATCATTTTAATAGAAGTGCTTTTGTATTTTATTTTTTAATAGAAGTTCTTTTTTTATTTTATTTTTTTATAAGAAACACTTGAATTTAATGGTCTCTAATTGCAGAAGTTAAAAGGCAACATTAGGGAGTTTTGTAGAGTGCAACATTTGCTCCTTTTTGTTCCTTTTTGTTGAGGGTATAGTTTATGTTATTGCAACATAAACTATTTTCTCTTATCTTACTTTTGTTGGCCATTGGTCAAGGGATTGATATACAAAACAATGGTATTTTTTTTTTTAAATATGGAAGCTGGAAAGTGTATACTAACATATCAGAAGAATATACTTTTGATTAATTTTAATATGAAAATAATGTTACTTTTAAACTCAACATGTCGAAAACAACATTTTCCTAGAAGTGTTTTCTCCTTCTACATCTCAAGAGGATGTCTTCTTGTAGATATCATAGGAAGTTCAAAACGACATTGACGAATATAAGGTTATAAGTGTTTTTATTCATCAACCTTAAAAGTAGTTTTTTCAATGCGTAAATCGTTTTCTTTCATATTTCAAATATATGATTTTATTGTATTTAACATATATGCATTTTTGCATATAGGCAAACGGGATCCAGAAAAACATACACAACGATGGGTGATGGTATGCATAGCGGTTTAATTCCCCAATCGCTAGAACAAAATTTTGAAATAAGTCAAGCCTAAACTCAAACTCAAATTGTTTGGATTTACGATAGGAAGGTTAGTTTTATATTGTTCTTAAAACTCTATTTTGTCCCATGGTGTCATTATTATAATATTATATTAAGTTTTTAAGTAGTAATTCTCTCCCTCCCTCCCTCTCCCTCTCCATATGTTTAGGTTTCCATTATCGAACTTTACAATGATAAGCTTCATGATTTGTTGGCAGGTGGAACAGAAGAGAAAAAAGCATAAGATTAGGTATCATACAAATGCAAATAGATATGTTGATTTATTTACCAGTGCCAATATTGGAAACATTGCGGATGTATCGATCTTCTTGAACGGGCTACAACAAGAAGGTGACGAGTTTTTATTCAAGTATTTTAGACCCACGACACACCTCTATTCTAGATGTGGTAAAATATGAAAATGAATTTAGGTTTTCATGCGCCTCTGATATCACCATCCATGAATCATTGTTCCCTTATCGAAATGGACAACATAGTGACAAAAAACAAAAGCCCGTAAGCCGATTGATCCAATGATAAAGTCAGCAAAGGGGTTTCTTTATGATAAAGGTGATTTGTGAAATAATGAGGGAACGAAAGTAATTAAGATAAGATCGTTGGAAAAGTAATCAGATCGAATATGCGTACCTTGGAGTGCTCTTCGTCCTACATTTATAGTTGATATTGAGGGGTCATACCCTCTTCCTACATCGAGAAGGTTTTCCATCATGTTGCATTAATGTTCGTACCCTTGAAAGTACATTTGCATGTACTTGTTAGTCATTTTTACAACTATGGTTCGTTGGTTTAAGGACCAATCAATCAAACATCCTTATTCAGACTTTTTTTTGTGAGTTC